TCTTCAGCATGCAAAAATTCGGACAATACAGGACTCAACACCAATGGTTTATGAATTCCGGTAACACCCTTTTTTTTTCTTTTTGTTTTCTTCACCACCCTCATCATCATCATCATCATCATTCTTTCATCGTTAGGATGCACCGCTACCCTTGCAGGTTCTCGCTTTATTTCTCCGGCTCTGTTTCCAAAAACTTACAACAGTCTGCCGAGAATTAAGCGACTTAGTTGGGATTTACATTGGGTTAGCATGGCTCATTGCTTAACAGTGATCTTCCTGTCTTTTCCACTACTGTATCAGGAAGAGTTACAAAAAGACAAAATTTTTGGTTATAATGCTTATGCCGGAAACGTCTACTCCATTGCTTGCGGGTGAGCTAAACAACGTATAAACGCTAGCTTGAAATATATAATTCCATTTTAATTATTAATGATTTATTCCTTTTAACCAGGTATTTCCTTTGGGACGCTCTTATTTCTCTTTATTATGTCAAAGAGTTTGGTTTTGGTTTTGCATTACACGGTATATGCTGTTTTGGTGTGTTCATATTTGCTTTTGTAAGTTGGAATATAATTATTTAATTAAATAATTATAAAAACCTGTTTCGATTCTTGTATTAACTTGATCTTTTTTTTTCTTGAAGAGACCATTCTTGAATTATTACGGATCTGTATTTTTAATGTATGAAATTTCCACTCCTTTTTTGAATGTGCATTGGTTTATGGTAATTATCGTTATGCTTCAATATGCTTCATAGAACTTTTATTTTATAAAAAAATGGTTTTAAATTTTTTAAAAACTTTTTTGAATTAATTTCTTGTAGGATAAACTTGGTTTAGGTGGAACTTTACCGCATACAATAAATGGTGTTTGTCTGCTTACATCTTTCTTCTTTGTAAGAATTATATACGGATGTTACATGTCTTATCAAGTATTTCGTAAGTGTTTATCGATATGATGGATATTGTATTTGTTTTCATATTCATTATTATTCATTATGTATATTTATATTTATTATTAGTTGCCGTCTTACCTGTAGTTTCGCAAATACCTGTATTTTTATGTGTTCTCTACGGAACGGCTAATATCATGTTGAATTGCTTAAATGTATACTGGTTTGTTAAAATGATAGCTTATGTGTCACGACCATCTGCAAAATATAATGTCAGCGATGGTCATTCTAGCAAATCACACTCCAAAGTTAAGAAACAATAAGGTTTTTCTATAAGTCCTATTGTGTTGGTGTGAAAATTCCTAGAATGGTATAATGTTAATTAATATAGTTAATACATCCATTTGTGTCTTAAGGAAAATAAGATAGTAATGGTATATATATATATATATATTTGAATAGCGAAATCCTATTTTTTACGTATAAAAAATTTTTGATAAAACCGACCATGTCACGTGTTGCTCCAAATCTATTTAGGGATTAACCAAATTTGGGACTTCCGCCGTAAATAAATTTTTCAATTGCGGTGGCTTATGACATAATGACAATACAAATTGCATATAAATATTTTTTTTTCCTAACTCTCGCATAGTTGATCGCCCTTTGTCAATTTAAAAATCGATTAGATCTGAATTTTTTTTATTTTAACCTTTCTTGACGCTAATTTTGGTCAACTCGTCAACAATACATAACATTTATTAAAAGTTTTCGATCTATTGTGTCACATTATTCTCTACCAAGATTTTGGATTAAGAATTAGTAGATTGACGAAATGACCGACGTTAATATATCAACATTCATTCCAACTATCAAAACTATACTTAAGAATTCAGATCCTAATGAAATCACTGCTAGAGACATTCGACTGAAGTTGGAGGAGGATTTTAATGTTGACCTTACAGACAGAAAACATGAAGTGCAACAACTTATCGAAAAATGTTTTGACGATTTAGAAATCGGTGAAGAAAGTGCAAACACTGATGAGTCTGATCATGATATTAAAGTGGAATCTGATCATGATATTAAAGTGGAAAAAAAAAAAAAAAAAAAGAAACATTCTAGTGACGCAAAAAAATCCCATAACTCGTCCAAATCATCTAATGTAAAAGCAAAATCATCCAAAGTACCCGTAAAATCCGAACAAATATCTGATTATTCATCCCTGGAGGATGATTATAAACCACAAAAAAAAAAGAAGAGAGGTAGAAAACCAAAAAGTTCTCAATCCATCGAATTCTTATCTGATGACGAATATGAGAGAAAGTTCGAAGAAGAATTGAATGGTGCTAGTAAAAAATCAAAATCTACATCTAAAAAGAAGAAACAGTCAAATAAACGAAAAAGAAATGATGATGATGATGATGATGAGGGTGGTGAAGAAAACAAAAAGAAAAAAAAGGGTGTTACCGGAATTCATAAACCATTGGTGTTGAGTCCTGTATTGTCCGAATTTTTGCATGCTGAAGA